GTCAGGCACAGATAACGGCTACTTATTTCCCAATTCGAATGCAGTCACCATACTGACGTGCAAGGCCGCCTTCTGTACCTTTCAACTGCCACGCTACCTTGCCACCTATGCCCATGCTCATCGCGTAGTTTCATAGCAGAAAAGGGAACCAACAACAAATAAGAGAAATTGATCAGCATTATGCAGGTTTTGTGTTACTTGTTATTCTTCCCACATTTTTGCTGATGTATGACCACAATGCACCTGATTGTAGCATGCCGTGGGACATCAGATTGTCATCCGAATTGGCAAGGAAGGATACCCATGTTTAACATCAGCATCGACTTTCATGATTTGCCTTCCCGACTTGTAATTCCGCAATTCGTTTATGCCACAAATAACTTGAAAACGGCGCTTTTTAGAGACACAATTATTTTTCAGTATCTGCGGTCTGCAGGCTCAGAGGGATAAATGAATAAATAAATAAACGTTTTATTCCTCGACAGTGCAAAGGTACAGACCAATTGAATGGTCTGAGCAACTTGTACAACGTGATCGCATAATATAGTTAATTTTACATGTTTTGTACAAAGCAACCCATATGGGTTTTTCAAGTGATCGGCAGTTTGGAAGTAATAGAGAGATTAAGAAACGGGGAACGATAACAAATGCAGATTTAACCGAAAGTTCAAGTAAAGTAGTACTGCCATCCATGGAACTATCCCCAGGGAGCCTGCTTCCATGCATGGTATTCCCTCGATGGGTTTCACCCGCACTTCCATACTCCAACTGGCTCTGTGCCGGTGTGGCAAACTAGTAAATAAGCCATCAGCTGGGTAACAAATGCTTTTTCATAAGGGTTGTTTTCTATGTACAGTATGGGCGATGTAGTCTCAGCCAGTTCCGTCATGCGGATCAAACAAGTATGGCACTTTTTTGTTTTAAGCCAGCTAGTCAGTAGCAGTATGATTTGCATGGGTATAAGTTTGTCTAGTTTGCAAGCTGTAATCCGTCACCTCAGAAGATCAGTCCAGTCATGGCCAACAGTGAAACAAGGAAGAATATAAAGTGTGAGGAATTAAAAAAGATAATAATGAACACAATCGCTTGCCGATAGGTCAAGCACGCCTGTGACCTTGTCAGCGTGTGCGTGCTAACCTTGCAATCCCGTGCTCTGTGTTAAATTGGACTTATCCCCTCACATTCTTATGCCACCTCCGCGGAAGTACGCTCAATCGATTCGGATCACCGAGGTCTATCCAACGGAGATTATAATTTTGGAGTAAATCAAACCACAGGCTGGTACACCACAAACAAAGTCTTCCGTAGTCTATTCACTAAGGCCAACGTGAGTAGCTTTGCATATTTGAATTTCATCAGTACGTTTGGGATACCATTCGACAGAGCTATTTTATGGCTGTCAGACAATATATAACTTGGTACTGTGCACCACTGTATAAATAGCTACAGACTTTTTTGTCATCTCACGCTACCACTATATTTTTATGCACATTTCACTGACTAAACCTGTGTGATTTTAGCTACTGGTGCGCCCAGTGAGGCACCAGCACCAAACCCGCTGACCGGAGCAGACCACTGAGGTAACCCAAACGGCGTGACCAGCGCAACCTAAAAGTGCATACCGACCATTGATCCATGGGCTGGATAGGTTTGTCGACCGGGAATCTAGTGAGGAACAAACCCAAGGTCAACCGTAGCTCAGACAAGCGGGGAACTGAGATCTTCGCCTAAAGCACATGTTCATTCTGTGCCAATTCCCACGACGCAACAAATGTGAACATTAGAGACTGAGACTGTATGTAAGAGCAAGTAGAAAGGTTGCTGTACAACTCTAGCGAATTACGAAAAATCAAAAAAAGCAAAACATTACACGGAACGGAGGTAACAGCTTATCGACAGATACGTCGTGGTTCTGTGGCTTATGTTCAGATAGTCCGATAATTAAGATGGTTCAAACGCTCACGATAAGGTGTGAGATGTTGGCTGTTACTTCGACAGAGCAAAAGAGACTGCCTGCGGTATTGGGAGGGCAAACCTTAGAACTCGATTTATAGCTTAGTGCATTACGTAGCCCGAATCGCAGACCTGTTAAAAGTTGAAAGCTATTTAGCAACAATGCTACCCACTACAGCGAAAGGCAACCACCGTTAGTGAAAAAGAGCGGTGCAAACAGGCCGGTTGAACGGTCTCCCAAGTCTCACCTAATGCTCCAAAGCATGCTGAGTTACGCACAAATTGCACGGTCACCTCCGCCAGTAGCTGGATGTTGTATCCCGAAAAAGCAGCAGACCACAGCAGCTCCGGAAGGTATGTATGGAGGAAACTGTCCGCACACACGCGCAGTACAATTAAATCGATAGAGAATCGCATTGCAACCAATCAAATGCACGATCACATGACAGGCCAAAGAGTGCTAACTAGTAGTTGAGTAGGATAAGCGAATCGAGGGCAAAAACAAAGCAAACTATTTGAACACGGCATTGTCCCCTCCTCTGTTCGTAAAAATATAGGCACTACATATTCATGAAAGATCTAATTTAATGTCAGCACCCCGAAGCATTGTCATGTGGTGTTATCCGTTAAAGCGTATCGGTAGACAGGGCGGCATATCTGACCGGAACGTCGTAAGTTCGTATTAGTTTGTACCGAGCGTTGTGTTGTAGGTCTGTTCGTCTGTTCGATAGCACGTTGGGAAAGCGCTGTATGCAGCCGTCTTGAATTCACCTTTGTCCCATCAGTCAACTTGTAAGTTCCTGGTGTGCACACAGATTGCACACGGGGTTGCGGTCCGAATACATTACCTCCTTTCCGGGAATTGGGTAGTCTCACACGAATAAATGTCTCTGGAGGATACGTCTTCCCAAAGCGTCTATATTTAGCCTGGTAAACAGCCCGCCTTCCGTATTCTCGGTGATCGGCGGTTTCTCCAGATGTATAGACTGTATTTAAGCGAGTTCGAATTGTTCGCCTCAGCATTAGCTCCGAGGGGGTTCTTGCCGTTGCAGTATGTGAAGTGGCTCTGTATACCTCCAATGCGGATGCCAACGTTTCATCCCAGGATTCTCCCAAAAGCCGAAGGACTTTGTAGTGATTCTTTCAAAGTACGATTAAGTCGTTCGACGAGTCCATTCGCCCCAGGATTATAAGGTACAATCCACTTGTGTCTGATAGCATTGCGCCTTATGAATTCAGCATACTCGTTACTTCGAAACTGTGGGCCTTTATCAGTGGCTATTTCTTCTGGCAAACCTTACCTTGCAAACAAACAACGGAGCCACTTTATGATGATGGATGTAGTTACGTCTCCGCATAGAATAGCCTCTGGCCATTTGCTAAAGAAACATGTAGCCACTAGCAAGTTTCGCTTCTGTGGGGGTGCATTGGCAAACGGGCCTATAATATCGGTGGCAATTTTTGCCCATGGCTTCATCTGGTACACGATTGGTTGGACTCATACTCTTATCGGATTGTTGGCAGGCGTAACATTCCCGAATAACCGCCTCGACGCTGGAAGTAAACTTCGACCACCAATAGTATTGTCATATCCGTGCTTTTGTTCATACAATTCCTGGATGATCTTCATGCGCACATGCAACCACCATAGGAATAAGGGTTGCAGGGACCACAAACTACCCGCCTCCAATGATGCGGTTGTTCACAGCAGAAAGCTCGTGCCGTAGTGTATAGTATGGAAGTAACTCAATTTGGATCTTGTTATGACTGTGCCGTGAAGTGGATATACACTCCCGAAGCTTCTTTGGGACTGTGTCTTTATCGGTGTGCTCTCGTATCAGGTCAAACGTTATTGTAGGCGTTCCGTCTGAGAGCTGCAATATCATTTTTGCCTCCTCTAAGTCCTTGTTTTCCCCCTCTTTGGAGTCTCGACAAGGCAACTGCAAGTTGGTTAAAACACCGTGGCACGTAGTTTATTTCATAATCATAGTGCAATAACCGTGAGTACCAGCAACTCATGCGGACCGGCATTTGGTCTTTGGCACCGCAATTTAGTAGGGTTGTAAGAGCAGAATAATCGGTGCGCAAAGCGAACCGACGTCCGAATAACTAAAAGTGCTATTTCTCACATGTTCAGACGCGTGCAAGGGCCTCCTTCTCGCCGGTGAAATAACTTCTTTCAGTATCAGACAAAGTACGTGATGTGAACGCAATTACTTTCTCCTCGTTATCGCGTAGCTTGGACAGAACTGCATCCAAACCAACATCTGAAACATCCGTTGAAACAAACGTTAAACAGTGCTCATTGAATGTCGCTACCGTGGGAGTGGATTCAATCATCGCTGGTATGGTCATGTAAACCATGTCTTGTTCAGTGGCCCAACAAAGCTCCTGGTTTCGGCACGTCAAGCTCCGCAACAACTCAGCAATGGCCACAAAAGTTGGTAAATGGTGAAGGTAATAAGAACATAAACCTAAGAAAGGTTTCATCCGTGTAACGTCGCATGGTTTTGGACAATCGAGAATGGCTCTGGTGTTCTGCACATTAGGCTTAATAGTCGAGGTAGAAATAACATGTCCAATAAACTCGACCTCCGTTCCAGCGAATTGGTATTTGGTGGTATTCACACGGAGATGTAGTTCATTCAGTCTATGCGGCACGTTATGAAGGTTTTCCTGATGTTCGCTGGGGTCACTGCCAAAGACACCAAAATCGTTCATATACACAACACATCCTTTGAGATCAGATAATGATAGATTAATAACTTCTCATCAATCTTCTATTTTCCTACATATGTCCCTCATATTTACCATTTCTTAATATACTAACCTACAATTATTTACCCTCCTACCACTTACTTCACCCATTATAATATTCCAATATTACTACATTTCATCTCACACCCTCAAATATCCACTTAATCCAAATCAAATAACCCATCCCACTACTCACTCATTCCATCTTCCAATACCCACTACACATAATCAAACCTCTATATCAATACTTTTCTACCCCTCAACCCTCCACTAACATAATCCTTCACCCCCTAAATCATCACCCCATCCCCCCTACATTTTAAACCCCTACAACCCCCCCAAACCCCCCCCCCCCCACACCACCCCCCCCCCCCCCCCCCCCCCCCCCCCCCCCCCCCCCCCCCCCCACCCCCCCCCCCCCCCCCCCCCCCCCCACCCCCCCACCCCCCCACCCACCCCCCCCCCCAACCCAACCACACCAAAACCACCCACACAACCCCCCCACCACCCCCCAACACCACCCCCAAAACCCCCACCCCCCCCCCCCCCCCCCCCCCCCCCCCCCCCAACCCCCCCCCCCCCCCCCCCCCCCCCCACCCACCCCCCCCACCCCCCCCCCAAACAAGAAAAAAAAAAACCCCCCCCCCCCCCCCCCCCCCGGTAGATTGTGAAATACTGTACGGTTTGTAATCCGCGCTCAACGAAATGCGGTGCATTGCTTTTGGGACTCTACCAATATCCAGAAGAAAGCGATTTGGGTAACTGGAACGTTACTAATGAAGGTTGACACTGGCAGTGGTCATCTGGCTGACTCATGGTAATACGTTCAATAAGACCATAACATTACGTCCCAATAGAGGCTTACTGTCAGTTTTAGGGGCGTAAACTTCAACTATACCCTTCCGGCTGTTTATATGAAATATTGAAACCATAAAAAACCGAGTATGTGGACTTCACTATTGGAGTAGCTGCTGGAAGTGTAAGCGGAAGGATGTACAGTTAGCTGACCAAAATGCTGTTTGTAAAAGCAATATGGCACAGCTGTGATTGGTGAAGCGGAATCTAGTTCCATGTCTAGATAAATGATTTTGTTTCTAATTTCAAAAAGCACGACGAATATCTGACGAAGGTGGTTTGGGTTCTTAAGTTGGAGAAGAAAGTGAATGTTCGCATTCATTAACAACTCATCTAACTTGTTCAGTGGTGACAGGAAAAGCTCTGGAGTCATTTGCAGAATCAACTAAAGAAGTGGCGCGGAAACGACAAACCCTATCCAAATGACCGGTCTTACCGCAATTCCGGCAGCTTGCACACTGTAGGACATGACTTATCATTTGCACGATGTTCAGCATATCCACAACCGTAACAGTTATTTCTGACCGAGGATCGCGTCAGAGAACGTGTTGAGTCCAACCGGTCAATTTCAGTAGCTCCTGTGTTAGAGAGAAATATTTTGTTTGGTTCTATGACTGCAACTTGCGCGCGAGCCACGTCACAGACCCTGTCCCATGTGAGTTTTCTGCGTTCTCCATTAAGAGACTCTCTGATCCGACAATCCGTGAGACCAGAAATCAAATGTCCTATTAGCATGGTTTCTTTAACTTTTTTCTTGGGAATACTATTGCAGTCACACTTTCGAACAAAACAAACAAGACGGAACGTGAATGTATCCACCTATTCACCAGATGCTTGTTTCAGCTGCGAAAAATTGTACCGAGAAGTATAGGTGTTCACTCGAACACCCCAATGTTTATCTAGGGCCGATAAGGCCGCTGCTAACGTGGGTTTTCCGTAAGTTACAAGCATCAAATATATGTTGACCATCTGAGCCGAGGTGCAAGCGCAAGCACTTTAAAGTATCCGCCGTTTGCAGCGTCACGGATGAATTGAGAACTGGTAGCACAGAAATATGATCTGAAAACTACTTTTCCAGCCGTCTCAGCGTTCTGCATTTGTGGTAACCGCAGAGTAAGTCCAGTACGGCGCAGGAGCAGTAGCATGCAAAGATATCGGTAACAGGCGACGCTAAGTTGTTGTATCCCGAAAAAGCAGCAGACAACAGCAACACCGGAACGTATATATGGAGGAAACTGTCTAGTGGGGAAATCATTTAGCCGTCAACATGCACACCTATAGGAAGTTATTGAAATATTAGTGAAATTGGACGCTAGCCAGTAACGGTATATTTCTCGCATGCGTAGCAACCGGAATGCTTCTTTACTTGTCGGATGTATGCCCGAGCAGGAACATCCGCAATCCAGCACTTCAGGGTAAGTGTCACGAAAGGATCTTCTGGAGATATATAAGTAGTGCTGGATGCATGCCATCTTTCAGCTCAACAATGATCGGTCCTAGAAACACTTGTCTATGTGAAGGTTTTGACCAGTCGAAATACAATCCGGCAATGAAAACGCGTGAAGGCGGATCCGTGAGTGTAGTCAAGATAGACCACAATTGTTTGTTCGAACTGCGAAACTGGGTGAGTCCATCTATGTGCAGTTGCAGCTGCAAATTCAACATGACAGTTGTAACACTGGTTTGCAACATGCGACATATTCCTGTACTCAGTCCAACGTACACGTAATCATCACCCTTAACAACGGTAACCGGGCTTCCAGTGGGTTTGCCGAGAAATGTGCTTTAATCGCACAGCAATTCAGAGTGAAAGGCGTGCTGACCCCGAAGCATCAGATTTATCGTTCTAGCTGGTAAAGATCCATCAAGCACGATACCGCGGTAGATTGCAGTAATGCTTGGCAACTGTGACGTTGATACCACAGGTGGAAAAGCAGCAGGCATTTCTTTCAGCATTTTATGCGTTGGGAAAGTTTACTTCCCAACAATCGACTCCAAAGATTACGCCTGTAAAGCATGTGAACCACGGAATCCATTAATGGGTGTGCGGAAGTTCCAGCAACTTGTTCAAGGCTAATTGAAATGCAGAGGCACACAACCGGTTGGGACCTGATTGGGGAGGAATCTGAAAAGAATTTAACAAAAGGAACGCATGTGCATACCAAGGATAGCATTGTACTGCATTACGCTACCGCCCACTCAGCATATGGTGCACTTTCTGGGGACGATTTTACCAAAAATCGCGCTATGGGAAACATGGGAAAAAGTGCGCCAAATTATGCGCATTGTCCCATGAGTGGCTAAGATAGTGGCGGTGTATTTGGGCACAGCGAGATATATTTGTGGGTGGAGCCTACAGAATAGTGTTATTGAATGCCCTTAGCCACGTTCCTGGTTGGCCGCCCACTATTGCATAAAACCCCGCGCTAATCATGAGCATATACCAAGATGTACGTGTTGCACAACCAGCCAGCACCTGTCGCACTTTTGGAGAAGCTTTTACCAAAAGGTGCGTTATTGGCTACAAAAGAACTAGTGCGCCAAATGTGCGCCATGCTCCATTATTGGCTACGACCAAGCTACACGAACGCAAGCACGTACCCAGCTACCGGTAAACTCATAGAAGGCGGCAAGGGGGCAATGAAACGTGTATTGAATGCACGGTTACCCTACAAGGTGTCACATGTGGCTGTTATCCAGATCAACTTATCATCGGTGACATCCATACTGTATGAAAGGGGTCGTCCATAATAGGAACGAAGGTAATGTTACCGCAAGTTCATAGCGATTCTACGTTAGCTTGCGGAATGCGAACTTACATTCCGCAGCTATTTGCGTATGTAGTGAGTTACCTTAGTCGGAGCAGAGTCGCTGCTTTGGACAAGCTTGAGCAGCATACCTGCAACTAAAAGCCTGCTTGCGTGGGATATCCCGCTTGCTTACCATGAATAACGTCATAGGTGTTAGATTGCTTGAACACCCATTTGCCTTGCGTTCCTGAAAAGTTGGTGGAACGCACGACGGCCCGGAGCATCACGCGCTCCATCATACGCCATACAGTGTCCATTAGAGTCGTGCAAGGCTCGTTTTCCAAAAAAGACACATGTAAACGGGACCACCGTTAGAAATGTCACTAGCAAATCCTTGCACTTGTTTTCGTCTTCTAGCGCTTGGTCAAATGCTATCAGATCCTTAACTGATGTGAAGGGGAGAGGCATGCTTGGAGTTGCACGAGGCAGGAGGCTGTTTACAGCGTCCGTCAATACTCCCAAACATACTTTCATGACGCCAATGTTTGCTTCCATGCGTCTCATGCCAGCTGCTAGGGCTTACGGAAATGGAGGAGAAAAACTGTGTAGTTACCTGCGGACACATCCATTTATTGCAAAATGGTCTCGATTGTACTAGAAAATCGGTCCAATCGTTCTGCGTTAGCTACCATGCGGTGAGTTTGGGCTCAAAAGTTATCTGCTTCGTTTGCATGAGGCGAATTTGTTTGCGCGGCTGTGTGCGGTGAAAATGATGAGGAACGCAACGGCGTCATTGACGGGAAACATAACCGGTGGCATAAGTGACGGCAATGCTTCGCAGCGGAAGCCTCTGCAGGAATGTGAGCGTACCTGCCATAGCATCTTACCGAATGATGTCATTGCACCAGCTCCTGTGTACGTACGCCGACTGGAACTGCAAGGTACATGGCGCGCTGAAGGCTTTCAACAAGGGACACGGGTGCTGCTCCGTCAGGCAGTTCGTCGTGCTCCTGAAACATACCGCGGTTCGCTACGGAGGATTGTCATTAGGAAAACTGAATTTACTCACTTCATTATGCATGCAACTGTCAAATATAAGGTCACTCACCTGCGATGAGATTCGCATCTCAGATCTACCCACAGATTGGTCTGCAGTAATAGCAGCAAGTGCACTTGCAAATACCCAGCACATGGACATCCCGTATTCTGTGGACGCTTTTGCATGCCTAGCGTAAGCATGCTTAATGAGTCAATAGATGTTAGACCGAGAGCCACCAGTATAAGGTCTTCGAGGTCAGCGAGACATAAAGACAAACTTTTACCGTGATAACAATGGCGAGTAAATGTCCGATATATGAGCTGCTGTACAGTCAAACAAACGTGCAGTGTGGGGAGAATCAATCGTGTAACCTTACTTGAAGACTATTTCTTGTTACCAGCAAGACTGACTGTACAGTTTCCTACACATTCAGTTATTATTTTACGAGTGAACAAATGGACACTCAAATAAGAAGCTCGAACGTCCACCTGTGCGGATAGGGTTATAAACAACAGAGACGAGTCTAAAAAGTCAAAGAAATTAACCATAATGTGCCCTAACCTACGAAGCACAATAACGCTTCGCGTTTGAAAATCTCTATAAACAACCAGTCCTTGAGGCACCACATATACAAGCCAAGGTGCATTGGACGCTTCGAAGCAATTCACTTGTTTCTGATACTTATTTGCTGCTTCTTAGCGACAGACCTCTATAGTATAGCAACAAAGATAAGTCTACTTCCGTAGTGAGATAAAAAGTGCACGAACTCACAAAGTTTACAATCTTGGAAACATGCAGCATTTATGGGCTGATATGGGCTGGCTGAATTATGAGCCGCCCTGACTAATCCATACCGACATGGCCTCTATAACTCCTCAGCTATACTTGCAATCACCAACCGTTATTAACTTTGTGGGTTTAACTTAACAATACTTTGCAATGCTCAGTATCCTCGAGAAGCATCATGATGTAGCATTTCGACCCAAAACTAATTGCACCATGTTGAAATCCCACGAGTACGTAAGGTATTCTTTTAAGGTTTCTGATCTTTTTAGCGCAATGTTTCCATACT